GCGAGGCTAATGGTTTGAAGGGAGGGCTAAAATGTTGAGTGTTTTTTTGTTTTTTTTAAGGTCAGCAGTTGAACAGCCATCCTCGTCATGGTGTACAAAGAAGGCCTGAATATTGTTTTTTTGTTTTTTAAGTTTTGATTGGCGTTTTTAAAAAGAAAAGATTTATTGCTTTGGGGTTTCTTTAATTGGGAATTTCTTTTTGAGGCAGGGGGAGGGAGTATTTTTGTTTCCTGCTTATTTCACAATAAAAATATATCTGCTCTTCCCTGATTTGGCTGAACAACTTGTTGGAGGTCTCAGGGATGTTTGGCTGTGACTCTTCTCATCTCTGAATTGAAATCTTTAACAACACTTTCCCCCCACCCAAGTGTTTCTCAGGCATCTGAGATAGATAAAACACATTTAATCTGAATAAAAATCACTTCCTCTCTCAATTAATCAGGCTTTCATCCTTCCATATCATCATTCTGCCAGGTCTCCAGCCACCAATAGTTTCGAAACAATAGACAAAAGATGAATTTCTAATGTAAAAAACCAGCAGATAATTCAACAATTTTAACAGAGAGAGGCCATTTCTAGACATCATAAAGCAACAAAACAGGGAACAAACCCAATTCTTTTCTTTTGCAGGTCACTGTTAACTTGCTTCTTTGCATCTCCTGTTATAGCAAATAATGTCTGCTTAACGACCAGCTGTTCTGTCTCAATCTATTGAAAGTTCCCCACAAGCCAGATCCTTGTTTTCCCTTTCAATAGCCATAATCAAAACATAGTCCAGATTCCCCAACAGTGGTTGAAGCTTGCTGTATTGTTAGCTGCACTTTACCATTAACTTTTCTGCAAGCTGTAACAACATGAAGGCCTTTCTCACTAAGGAAGGAAACCTCTTTATGATCCCAGCTGGCAATGGCAAAGGACACCTGTACGGACAGGGCAATCTGAGCATCTTCCTTTCTGTAGTGTAATCTACAAATCTTCCTGCACACAATGGATATGCACACCTCTACCCCGATATAACGCGACCCGATATAACACGAATTCGGATACAACACGGTAAAGCAGCACTCCGGGGGGGGGGGGAGGGGGCGTGGCTGCGTGCTCCAGTGGATCAAAGCAAATTCGATATAACGCGGTTTCACCTATAACACGGTAAGATTTTTTGGCTCCAGAGGACAACGTTATATCGGGGTAGAGGTGTACTAGAAAGCTTGTATCTATCTTGCCAAACAACTACTGGCTCCCATGCCATTTTTTCCAACGGCAATGTCCTTCAGATGTGCAGTACTCTTAGGATGCAGTACATTTCACATTCCACCAGTTCCAATCCCGCACCACTCATTGGGGACTGAAAGTTGTTCTTGTCTCATAAGTGTTTGCTGACTCATCTGAAATAAAATGATGACTTCATTCCAGTTCCTAAGGCTTCATCTACACTACAGCACTTGTGGTGGGGACACTCTAAGCCGACAGGAGAGAGCTCTCCCGTCGGCTTAATAACTCCTGCCTCCGCTAGAGGTGGTAGTTATGTTGGCGGGAAAAGCCAGTCCTGTTAGATCATTTGGAATAAAATGCAATTAAATTCATTATGTACCTGAGCTTGCCTATCAAGTTCTCTTCTTAAGGACTGCTGCACTGGGGGCGAAAGAGTAAAATAGAGCCCAGCTGTGGCCACTCCCTCTTCCCCCATAGTCCTGTGACCTAAAACTGTGTAGAGGAAACCCCCCCTCAGGGGGCACTAAGACTTATATGGTACCTCCCCTCCCCTAGTCAAGTGGTCTTGGGGAAAAACTGCAGCAAGGAGCCAGCCACGGATCCCAGCCAGTAGGAACAGTTACAGAAGCAGCCAAAGCAGTGACCTTCAGACCCCAATGATATCACATAATTTTCTGCAGTTTTGACTAGATGCTGTCTGCCCTGTGCTGATTGGCTGTCTGCTCCAACTCTCTGTTTCCTCATCACGGCTTCTCTCTATACCTGCCCCATCCCCATCACCCACTTCCCTTCAACCTTCCCTCTCTTTTCACTTTTCCTTCTCCGTTTAGTTAGGTAATCCCCCCTCCCCCGCTTGAATCATGCCCCCCCACCTCCCGCCCCAAAAAACTGTGGAACTAAGATGATACTTGCCGCCATCATATTGTTTGTTCTGCTGGTGTGTTTTATCCCTTTGCCTTACGCTGCATCTATCTTGTCTATTCAGATTATAAATTCTTCAGAGCAGGGACTGTCTACTACTCTGTGTTTGTACAGTGCTTTGCACAAGGAGGGTCCCACTCTTGGCTGGTCCTTGGGCACCACCATAATCAACATGATCCATCATCATCTGGTTAAATGGCACAGTGTCCAGCAGTCTCCCACCACAGGGACATGTGAAGAATCCCAACAATTGAGTAGGTCTGTTAACAATTAAAAAAAAACCTCCTACAAATGGAACAGTCTCTCTCACAATTCTCAGCATAATGTATGAGCTGTGTCCATTTCAATGTTGGGGGTGGTGAGGTGTCTACAACTCCAATTAATGTCACTGATGGATTAGAAAATAAATACATTGTTTCCCCACAGAATAATCAATCTTAGCACACAAAGTGCTGGTAAGCTGGTTGCCTCAAGAAAAATCATTAGGAAGCATCCGTGTACTTGGGAGATCTGTCAGTTTCGTTATTGCAAATAGTCAGTCTCTGGTTTGGTCTGTGTATGTAACTGAGGCTTTCACCAGTCCATGTTGAATTTACCTGGAGTATAAACAGACTGAGCCAACACCAAAGATGAGAGCAGATAGAACCTCATGTTAACAAGGAAAACAGCAGTCTCCTATGATTGTGTGTGAGCAGAAACGTAAGTGGAACCCTGGTGTGATGGTGAATCATGTGCTCTTGAATGTTAAGGTACAGTGGAATTTTCATAGCATCTCAGATTCTTTCCCATATTGCTGCAAAAAAAGTAAATGTAGGTGGAACTAAACTCCTGTTGTTATGAGGATGGAAAGAAAATTAAATTATTTAAATTAACCCATCTATTCTGGCCAACAGCTTATGAGTAATTCTCAACATTTTGTCACCTAAAAAGACAGTCATATCCTGCCAAACACATCATATACCAGTTAGTATTTTAGATCACGGATGATTAACATGTATGTAAAATATTGCGTGTTACTTCAGAGAGCTTTGCTTCTTGCCTGCCTTCCTGGCTGCTCTTGTCTGTAGTGTTTTTCTTCCTTTTCGGGCAGAGGAAGTGGGGGTGGAGAATAGAAAGAAGGCTTGTTCTTATGCAGCATAATGACTGCTTTTATCCCAAGTCCCTCATAATAAGCAAGGACGAGTTTGCTTAGGGAATGTTTCACCTATCGCTTCTACCTATCCATCTATCCCACATTCATTACGATAGTATGCAAGTGCCCAACAAAGTTATAAAATCCAAATGATAGAATCCAGCAGATTATCTTCCTTCCCCCAAATCTTTAGGAATGTTTCCGCACCCACCCATCCTTCTCACCCACTTGGTGCTAAGTCGAAGAACTGAGTTTTGCAAGTATAGGCTGCAATTCAAGAATGCACTTAAGCATGTGCCTACATCCCATTGACTTCAATGGTACTTAACGATAAGCTTGTGTTTAAGCTCCCCTTCTGTTCAGAGCTACCATAGTTTGCTGTAGCACTCTCATCCTCTTCTCCACTACTGCTAGCAGCCTGTGTTCACCTGCCTAACGGCACAGACCGACAGGGGCAAAACAGGCAATCCAACCACCTGGGGGTGGAAGCAGGCTGAACAAAGTTGATGGAGGCTGTATATGAACTGAGCACTGAGACCATGTTAGCAAAAAGGGTGTTGTTGGTAGTGGTTACAATCAAATTTTAGACTTATGAAAAGGAAGGTTCTGAAGATGCAGAGTGATTCCGTGGGTAGGAGCCTAGACAGACTCATGAGACTAGATTCTGTTCCCAGCTCTGCCACTGAGCTGCTGTGTGACTTTGGGCAAGTCACTTCACTTCCTTCAATTTCCTCATACGTAAAATGGGGATAATGATAGGGACCCCCTGTGTAAAGTGCTTCAAGATCTCTGGATGAAAAGCACTAGCTAAAAGCTAGGTGTTATCACCATCATCATCCAGGGTTGGGACCATCTCTTACTATGTATCTCCACAGTGCCTAATACAATGGGACCTGGTCTCGGCTGGATCTGTACTCAGTACTGTAATACAAATAATAATAATAATCTGGGTACTTACATCCTTGCTCCCCATGTTATTATATAACCATATCCAGGATGCAAGTACCCATTCGTCTTTCTGATAATTTCACCTGGTACATGGATAGCAAAAACCCTATACGAAGGCATGAAACATTCAATCCTAAAAACAAATCTCTCCTGAAACAAACTGGTTGGTAATGCAGGTGGCCATCTTCACAGGAACTTTCCAATCTAGAAAACAGTGAACGTCTCAGGACTAGTTTATGGCTGAACTTGATGTAAACTTTGATGCCACCCACTAACAACGCAGCTACACTCTGCGTAACAAATAACCTCAGCTCCCTTGACTAAACAAACAGTAATACCACAGAGACAAATTTATTTTCAAAGCCTGCTTGGTATCCTGCCCAGTAACTTGGTCCTTGTTCAAAACAAAAAGATATGATCATTGCCTCATAAAGCACTGGCCACCTTTCCTTGTAACGTTCTGATGGCAGACCTGTTTATAAACTCCTTTATTCTTCTCTCAGCTTAAAGGTGGCCTGAAAAGTGGGGGAAGTGTACTTGTGCTCTTCTTTTTACTTTTTTGCTTCTGTTATGCTATAAAAAAAGATGTGAAAGTTTAGATTTGTTTTGTTTTAATTATTCCCCTTGCCCCCCCACCCCCCTTTTGCTTTTTTACTTGAGAACCTTCTTCTCTGCTCTGGAAGATTCTAGGATAACTGGAGAACTAGTGAAACGATGCCATCACAAGAATCAAGGGAGTGAAATCTGAGCAACTAAACACATATAGAAGAAAATGATGACTACTTACATATAATATGTAGGATACAACCCTTCAAAGTACCAGCAATGCTTTTTGGCCTCTGTACACTGGAAAGAAAGAAAAACATCATCATCTTGGTGTTATTATTAATTTAGGACAATCATAATTTATTATAAATACAGGCATCAAATAAATATTATATAGTCAGACAAGAAAAAGGTCTCTGATCCCAAAGATTTCACAATCTTAATAAATACTACTATTGTGAAATCAGACATCTTGAACTGTAATATGTACCTTTAGGCCCCGGACTCTGCATGGAGATGCCCACGGAGGTCAGTGGAGCTCCAGACAGACACGGGGCTCTATCTGTCTGATCTTATCTTTGTGCAGAATTTTAGGGCTTCACAAAAATCCCAAAGATAAAGGGAAGTTAAGAGCCAGTCAGTATCACAGGTCATTTATGAAACAATTCTAAAGCATCCTCAATTGAAATTGGCTACCCCATTCATATGACCACACATTTAATTAGTCATTAGTTTATAGCAGAGAAGTGATAATGGGGGAGGGATAGCTCAGTGGTTTGAGCATTGGCCTGCTAAACCCAGGGTTGTGAGCTCAATCATTGAGGGGGCCACTTAGGGATCTGGGGCAAAATCAGTACTTGGTCCTGCTAGTGAAGGCAGGGGGCTGGACTCGATGACCTTTCAGGGTCCCTTGCAGTTCTATATTTTTTTTTCTTTTTTTTTTCTCTTCTATAATCTTTATGTAATCTCTGTGCAGATGGAATAGAGCTAGGAAAGGAGTAAAGGCAACAAACAGTGTTGGGATATTTTCTTATTTCTCTACAACAAAAATAAAATCAGTAAATGTTTCAAGGTGCATGGTAAAGTATCTAGGAAAGGAGACCACTCTCTGCAATCTAGTAACATTATTCTCTTTCATGTGCACTTAGTATATCCCTCTTAGAGGATGGGGGCAGGAATTTTTTTCTGTGTGTGAGGCAATGCCTATCATTGTGGACATTACCAGAATACAAACAACTAAATAATAATAATAATAATGATGATGTTTGGAAAGGAAACACAGAGATGTCAAGTACAAGGTAGCATATATAAGGCACAAAATATTTCTATATACTTCACTGGCATCCATAACGTCAGAATGAATTATTATAGATACATTTCTAGAAGTTTTATTGCAAACTATGTTTTTTTGTTGTCACACAAATGATACATTCTTTGATATCTTCCACACACCAAGAGGATTTTACCTAGGGAATGTTTTGTTGGGATTTTTTAAAAGTTAGTTCAAACTTCTCTCTCTGTGGAAAACCCCTCATGGCCTAGTTTTGAGGGCATTTATCATGTCCAGAGGGCTTAACTCACCCTTCATTTTAACTCTGCAGCTCATCTTTAAATAAGAGCTCATCTAAGATTATCAGCCTCTTTGAATTCCAGGAACACAGAATACATCTGGGCAAGAGAGAGAAAGTGCTTTTAGATTCTTGACTCTCACTATTCATGAATGAGAGAGGCTGTAAGCCCTTTATTAAGCATCTCATGCGTGGATTCAAACACAGAGCAATTGTTGCCCAAGAAGACCATTTACTATAGATTAAACAGTTCAGACTGGAAGAAAAGACCCTTGTCTCACATGATCACTGATAAGGTGCTAGGGCTCATGCTAGCCACCTATTAACAGAGACAGGCTTTGGGCCCTGTAAGAAGGACCAGGGCTGGTGCTACCATTTAGGCAAACTAGGTGGTTGCCTAGGGCGCCAAGATTTGGGGGCGCCAAAAATTGGTGCCCCCAATTTTTATTTTTTTCTTACAGTGTTCCTACGCTCCACTTCTCCCGCCTCCCAGGCTTGGAGCGCCAATCAGAATTAGAGCAGGGGCGGCGTGCTCGGGTAGGAGGCGGAACAGAAGTGAGCTGGGGTGAGGAGCTGCCGCACGGCTCCCTGGGGGGGGCACCTCAGGGCAGGGAGCTGCCGCAGGGCTGTGGGGGTGGGGGGGGAGGAGGGTGCAAGGTGGAAGTTTCGCCTAGGGCGCAAAACTTCCTTGCACCAGCCCTGAGAAGGACCACAGCTTTCAACTTAAAAACAAAGTAAGCCTCTTTTCCTTCTGAAACTGACCCCATTTTCCTCCTCAGACTGATGCTAAGATTGAAAACAACATGCAGCTGGGCTCCATTCCTGCAGCAGGAGAGCTAAAGATCCACCTGCCCACACACACATATACACTTTGTGTAAAATGAGTCAGGTAAGTTTGGGGTGCACTCAAAAAATCCTCTTACTAACCCTTCCCAGATCAGACTCCACTGGCCCTTTTCTCATCCTTGAGAGAGGGGAATGGCCATTCATTTCCTATGATTGTCTTGACTCTCTCCTCTCCTAGTTTCCCATCTTCTCCTCCTCTCCCTTCCTCCCTGATCCTAGCCACCCTGCATTCTCTCTGACGTCCTTCACAGGCAGCTGCATCTTCATATATCAGACAAAGGATAGTGACATTATTTTGAAATACTCTGCCCAGAGGGCTATAAAATGGAGCTGGAAAATGAACAATGAATGTCCAAGAAACACAATACTCCCCTAAGCATCCAGTTTCCCCAATTATTTTACAATAAAAATGTATGTGAGCTGCAAAGGCCTGCGAGGCTGTCTTTGCAGCATCAACCACCTTGCTCATTGCTGAAACCCCCCAGCCCTAGCAGCGCATTCGATAGTTCAGTGTTGCAATGATATTTATAACCTTTACATATTGTTATTTAAAAAAATCATCAAGTCACTCACATTCAAAGCAAATCAAAAATAATTTTAAATCATTCTCCTTTCTTCCTATCATTTTGATAATGACATAACCATACCAATTATCCAGTGATTACACGACATTATTTAAATAAAATAAATCTCATAATTAATTGTCCAAATTAAAGAGCCAAAATAAATTATTTTGTATTTGAATTTTTCTTCCTGCCTGTTGCCCAGGGGCTTCTCCACTGCCAGCAGCGCCGGGGAAATGCTGCTGCTGGTACCAGGCAAAGGAGCAGCTCTGGGACAACAGGAGGCAGCAACTGAACGCAGGCCCAGCAGCAACGTTTTCCCGTTTCCCCCTTCCCCTGCCTCCTACTACCCCAACCTTCCCTCTCCTAAGGCCAATGCATAGAGGCAGGCAGGGCTCAGTGGCCGAGCAAGTCTCGTGTCCTTAGCCCCGAGGGTCTCACAGCTCTGCCCGCATGCCCAGCCTTGAAAAAAATTGCAAAAAGGAGCTTCTTGTATCATTGCCAGAGCTCTCCCTGCAGGCTCCAAAACCCTGTGACTCATGATCAGTTTGTGAGCACTAGCTACACTGCAGCCCCGTCATGCATTCCTGCAGCCCAGCCCGAATCTCACACACCTGGCTCAGTAGCAGGAAGGCAGCAGGTCTTTAATTCCAGTTTCTCCTTTTCTGGCCACTTGAGGCCACTGTGGCACCAAACACCTCTTCTCCTTGCTGGCCTTGCTGGATCAGGGCCAGGGACGGGGAGCTGGAAGGAGAAGATGGCAGGGGCAGCAATAAAAGGTGAGGGGGCCTCGGTCTGGCCTCAAATGCCCATGCCTCTTCCCCCTGCAGCCACCTGCTCCAGGCTTCACAAGCACCAGCCTCACCCCTAATCCCTTGCTCCCATCAGCCCTCTAGCCCCCTGGAGCACACCAAGCCCCTGCCACTTAGAAGGCCCCTGCAACCCAGCACCCCTTACTTCCAGGAACCCTGTGAAACCATTATCATCTCCAGGAGCCCCAACACCTATGTGCCCTTCAGCGCTAAAAATCCCAACAGCCTTCCACCCAGCTACCTCCAGCTTTCCATGCACTCCACCGTGTCCAATTATGGCCTCCGATACCCCTGAACACCCACACACCTATCCACTCCCGCCACAGCTGTCAAATTCTGTTCAGTTCCATGCCCTGCCTGATCCTCACCACTGCTCAGGACAGGGCCTGTTGACCGTAATCTTACGTTTATTGTTATATGCAACTATGCAAATTGTTTCGTTAAACAGATAAAATGTCACAAGCTGGATGGCACAAAACTTGGCAGCTAGGAAGCTCTGTAGTTCAAGAGAGCTGGAGAAGTAGGTTATTCCTGCTGGACGTGAAGCGTCTCTGAAATTTAAAGGGTGGGGGGAACAACTTGACAACTACTGCCATTCAATGTCTCCCTGCTGCATGTCGCGACTACCGCTGGGGTGCACTGCAACAGGAGAGAAGGGGAAGAACAATGGTGTATGGAATGCCCACACGAGCTCTTTTGGGCAGGAACTGTCTCTTTGTCCTGTGTCTGTACAGCACCTAGCACAATGGAATCCTGGTCCCTAGGCACTATGGCATTAAAAATAACAAATAAACCAATAATGAAACAGCCCTCAACAACTGGTAGATAACAGCACCTCTCCCCTCAGGATGAATTCAGTCAAGGAAAGTCATTGTGATTGAATTATTATTATTAAATACGGCTATTACCACAGTACCAAGAGATACCAAAATCAAGACTGGTGCTCCATTGTGCTAGGCATTGACAAAGTCCTTGTCCAAAAGAACTTGTGTTCGTTTAGTTCTTGAAAAAGCTACTCGCCCATGGCAAGACAGACAATGAGACCTGCGCTGTAAAACTAATCTTGCTTATGACCCTGCTGGTGTTTTAACTTTTATGATGGAAAATTTACCTCCATTTTGGCTGTAAAATAGTTTATTCCAGGGGTCGGCAATGTTCAGCAAGCGGCTTGCCAGGGTAATCACTCTAGCGGGCCGGGCCAGTTTATTTACCTGCTGACGCAGTAGGTTTGGCTGAATGCGGCCCCCACGGGCCACGGTTCACCGTCCCGGGCCAATGGGATCGGGGGGAAGCAGCGCGGGCCAAGGGATGTGCTGGCCGCGGCTTCCTGCCACCCCCATTGGCCTGGGACGGCAAACCGTGGCCAGTGGGGGCCGCAATCGGCCGAACCTGCCGCGTCAGCAGGTAACTAACTGGCCCGGCCCGCTAGGGTGCTTGCCCTGGCGAGCCGCGTGCTGAACGTTGCTGACCCCTGGTTTATCCTATGTCCTTTATCAATTTGGCCACACTAT